TACACAATGTGACGCACTTCGGAAACCGTCTTGTTTATAAAAATGTGCTACACAAATAAAGCTGGATTGGACTGGAATACAAAGTGAACTGGAGCCAGAGTCGATGGAGCCAAAAGCGCACCCATGCTCACTTCTTATTTGGAATGCAGCGGCTAGAGGGTTAACAATGTCCATTTATATACAATCTATGGGTTCACCACAGTAGATTTTGCTGACTTGTTATTGAAATACTCTCAAATGTGCAGAAATCAGATAATCAGATTTTGGTGTGCGTGTAAAAAAAAAAGCCACTGATATAAAGACTGATCCAAAACTATTCTACAAGTCAAAGGAGGAAATAACATGATGGAAGTTGGCAATGAGATTCAGTATTGATCAGATGCAATTTTTCTGATTAGTTGTTTCAGCCAAGACCCTTCAACAAACGCTGCACAATCTTGAGAAATGCAATTATGTTACTGAAGTACTGTTAGTACAATTATACTTGTGATATATGTTTAAACAGTAGGATTCTGTTTGGACTATAGGGATGTCAAAAGTATCGAGAATCAGATACTAAACGACGTTCAAGCTAGTATCGAAACTAGATACTCATATATTGATACTAAAAAAGTCCCATTGACAGTACAGACAGTATACACTCGGGAATAGAAAAGAAAGTACTACCTTTTAATAGTGATGTAACAATACCCAACAATACCCAGTGATATCGTATCGTCAAAAGTCTCTCAATTATATCGTGAGCCATCACAATGTATTGAATTACAAGTTTCTCTGCTTAAGTCTATTGTTATGGTGCAGTAATAGCTAAAAAAAATAACATAGGGAACTACATAGACCATGATCCTTTGCTGTTTCAGTGCAGACTACATGAAGAAATAAACACACTTTTAAAATCATAATTCTTTGTTTTATAAAAGTAGCAAAGGCTTGTCAAGACATTTTATAAGGAAAAAGTAGCAAATTCACAGTTTTTTTAACCTACACAAAATATTGCAATCAATATGGTTCAGTGAAATGCATATTGTGAAATTATCGTATCGAGAGATTTGGGTATCGTTTCATCCCTACCTTTTAATATTGTAAATCACATTCTATTGTCTAAAGAATGAGTGTTTTATTAAAATGGTATTAGAGTCAGTATTGAGTATCCAGTCTATTCCTTAGTGTCAAAATCAATTTAAATTTTAGTATTGTGGCAACACTAAGCGGTAGCCTGATTCATCAGCCGGTTTTACTTTGTTTTACTTCGTTTCACTTCGTACAAACCGTCTGACCTCGCAGCCCTAGATTTCGTTCACTTAACGGTAGGCGAGTACTTTTTATCATTTAACCAATCGCTGCTATTTGGTCGTGACATTCTCTTTATTCAGGCTTTAAATCCTCGATCTCTGGAATCAGCCAATCAGCGAAGAGCCAATCAGCTGGTGCCCGAACTTGCACTTCCGGGGTTTTTGCGAGCCGTCTATTGTATTTTGATTCCTGACCTAGTTGCTGGCGAGAAATTAAACTGAATGGAGGCACTAGGTGGTGACTGATACACATCGCAATGAATTTCAGAACATGTTTGTAGAGGTCTAAACAACAGCTACAACCATTTTTCTATTTAAAAAAGACCAGGTACTTTGTTTTTCTGTAGAGGATTTTCGACCATTAATAATTGTTTGTGATTTGATAGTGAAAACTCAAATGGCTACATACTGAATAAGCCTACCTTTCACTCCAACTTACATCACTTTGCAGTTGTATTTATGAATTGATTTGAGAAAACATTAAATTTACCACTGCGTTCTACTAATACTACTAACAAATTCTGAAGCATGACAATATAAAGGATAAACGAAAATACTGAAACACCCTTATGTCACTGACGCAAAGCAGGAAAATCCCACTAAACCAATTTTATTTATTTATTTTTTAATACAGTATTATTAAAAAGTAGGGATGTAATGATATCCAAATCTCTCGGTATGATATTATCACAATATGCATCTCACAGTACGATATTTATTGCGATATTTTGGAGAGGCTAATAAAATTGTAGATAGGACACCGTTTTTGCTTTTAAAATACCTTGACAAGATTTTGCTGTGAATTATTACTGTCATAATTCAAGTAAACATATTTCATTCATTCATTTTTCTTCTTTTAAGCATAGGAACTTGCGATTCGATATATTCGTGACATCCCAAAATATTATAGTGAAACTTTTGACGATACAATATCACGATGTTTCAGTTGTTGTTACATCCCTAATAGCAGAATGAAGAAATAATTAGCTATAAAAGTTACTTATTCAACTCTAGACAGCTCAAATATTACCGTATTACAAGTAAAATCACACAAATCTTGCCATTATTGCAAAAAAAAGTCCTCAAATATATATTGCTCCAGCTCTCATATATATTGAACGATTAGTCAATATAGTAATTACCGTGACATGCCTAATACTACTACTCCAGTGTTTTGATTCTGTTTGTGTAAATAAAGGGCAAAATGAAGACAACGCTCTTTACAGTGAGTGTGGAGGAGTGGGACGCCATTGGTGGATTTAAAGCCAGACCAAAGTTTCCTGTTGTTTGCTACAGGGCGGGGCCTCACTGTTTACATTGCAGGCTTCACTCCATTCACAACTGTGCCTATGTTAACTTAACACACTAGTGCCACTATCAGTATACAATGTCAGAAGAACTAAATATTAATTGAGAAAACATGAATGCAAAGTGAAATTAGATGTGTACAGGACATAGAGATAAAGATATAACCCTAGAACTGAATGAATAACTACATAAATTTGAAGTAATTTTTTTCTTCCATAGCTACTGTATTGTATAAACACTGAAACTCCCCAACTGCCTGCTTCTGGTTTTCTGCTGTTTGCTTTGCTTTGTTACTATAAGAAAATTACACGGTTTAGGACAAACTGTGTTACTTAAGATTACAACTTAACACAACACAAGATCACAACAAATCCCATTTAAGCCATGTGCAGTTATGGTTAAAACAACATTAAAACTTTGAAAATACACTAATTTGCTTTGTGTAGGTCCACTCTGGCGACTCCAACAGTGTTCTCAAAATATGAATCAATTTCTACTACAATATACCCCCACAGAATCCAAAGATAATCACCATTTCGAACAGCGTAAAAAGGCTGCTAAAGAATGTAGTCATAAGGAAATATTCAACCAGTTTTTCCATAGCTTCCTTGTTCCTTTTGCACATCACCCAAGAACAATCTTGACTCAGCGCCCACCAAACCTGCTTATACTAGCTTAGTCCAAACATACTGTTAGTTAATGGTAGATGAAAACAGATGACTAAAAGTGAATGTTATAAAATCTTCTAGGTAAGGCAAAGTTGAATTGTCTAGAGCACATTTTGTATAGAAATTAATTTAAAGTGCGATGCAAAACAAGACAGAAGAATTATGATAACTGTATAAACACCTAAAACATCAAAAAAAAAATTGTGACGTGCAAAACTAAAAAGAACCAAACTAAGAGAATGTTATGAAATCTTCTAGGTAAGGCAAGTTTATTTGTCTAGAGCAGATTTTGTATAGAAATAAATTCAAAGTGCTTTGCAAAAGAACACAGAATTATAATCACTATAGAAACAATAAAAAAATTAAAAATAAAAATAATGACGCGCAAAACAGAACATTCACTTAGTATGATTCTTTTATGAAATGTTCTAGGTAAGGCAAGTTTATTTGTCTAGAGCACATTTTGTATAGAAGTTAATTCGAAATGCATCGCAAAACAAGACAGAAGAATTATGATAACTGTATAGAAATTAAAAACATTAAAAAAAGTGACGTGCACAACTAAAAAGAACCAAACTAGCTGTAAATAATAGTCACAGTGCCAGAAAATGACAAAGCTTTAATGAACAGTAGTTATGTTTTTGTTACTGCCCATTTGTAAACCCCCAAAAATGCTTTAATTGAAGGCAGCTTTTCATAAACAAACAGCAACCAAAAATCAGTCCCATTTTAGATATTTTGCAGATTGCAATAGCCAGAAGTACTAATTGAGATCACATATATTAACATAAGATGGCTACAAGAGGCTCACAGTCACAAAAATACTAAAATAACCTTGATTTTGCTATTAGAAAAGAGCATCTTCCATTGCTAAACTTCTGAATTATATCTGATTAGGAGTTTGTTATGATACTCTGTTGTATTATGGTTTATTTCATGTGGTTTGACCTGCGGAGCCCTTACAAACACGGGGCTTGTGTTTTGCTAAAAAATCTGTAGCAACGCCTAAAAACACGCCGAGTGTCACGCAGCTAACACGTTGCTTTGGCGAAATTCCTCACATTTTCTACTCCGTTTTGTGAAATGTCTGGGGATTATTTTAGCAAAGCGTGGTAATGATTAAATTAGAAAGCGTAAAGAGGTGATTGTGGGTGCTTTGAGCCAAATTTGGTGAGGGAAGAAGTTGGAATGCGGCTAATGCTAACGCAACGGGCTAATGCTGCTAAAGAATGTCAACAAAGAAAATGGCTCTGCGAACAGGATGCGGACTTGTGGGCTAGCAGGCTAAAAGCACGTGGTCAAATGAAATAAAAACACTCCACGAGGATTAATCAAGGTCTAAGCTTGGACTAAAACAGATCCGAATTCCGTTTAAATCGGGGATAAACAAGGACTAAATCTGGACTATTGTAAAGCTACACCGAGGCTAAACCAGGACTAAGTAGGTCAAACCCAAGACTTAAATGTGAGCTAAATCGGGCCAAACTAGGATTAAAATAGTGCGATCAAACAGGGACTGAACCACGATGAAGCAAATGTTATATTAGAAGTAAAGCATGCAAAAACTAAGACTAAACCATGACTACTCCAGGTCTAAACCAAGACTAGATCAGGTCTAAACAAGGACTAAATGTGAATCAACATGGTGGTCGTCAAAAGCTTAAAAAAAACATACAAATATATATCGATCTATGGGGTTGATTATGTAAATTTTTGCTGTTTTTAGACTTACATTCGTGGAAGCTGCAGAGGAGGGGCGCCCCTCCGTAGAAACACGCCGTCCACAAACACCCCGTTTTTGCCCAGACATCGGAGGTAGAAGTCCCCGCTGCCCGAGCCCTCGTCGCTGGCGGTGAAAATCTCCAGATGCCTGCGGGAGATGAAGCTGGAGTGGCCCATGCTCACGTCCACGGAGCCCTGCGAGGAGTTGCGTCCGATGGTCACCGAGCGCTTCTTCATCATGTATTCGAATTCGCGGCCCTCGAGCCGGGCAAGTGGCCCAGACGACCCGCCGCTTACCACAGCCATGCTTCTGCTTCTACGGCGAACGTGATCGGGGGTAAACAAGACGCGGGATCGGTGTGGCCTTGCGGTGGCGTGCTACGGGAGCAAATCTACAACAGGGGCATCGAATTCAAAACAAAAATTTCGAGGGGAACATGCGAGAGGCCGAGGGGACAGCGGCTCCAACCCACCACCGCCGAGAGAAAGGGGTTGTCGCTAGATTGGATCGGCCGGAGGGACGCTATACGGCTCTGCGATTGGTTCTTTCAACAAAACGAGGCGTGGTTATAATTACTCCGGTCTGATTGGACCGATCCACTGTCAATCGACGCCCATAATATTAAAACAAACCAATCGCAATCGCAGAATAACCAATCACAACGCAGCGTCCTTTCCGCCGATACAAACTAACCTCACCCTAAGCAAGACGGGGCGCGTAATGAGTCAACCAAACGTGGCAGAGGGCGTGATGACTGTCAGCGCTCTGAGCCAATCCGAAACGAGAACGCTGATAGAAGTCTTTAAGAACAGCCAATCATATCCGACAATTAATCCGAGGGCACGCTCAAGGGCGGTTGGGATGTAGGAGCGCATATGCTAACCGGCTACAAACAAAACACGGATCGTATGTTTTAAAACGCTTTCCACGTGTAGCACACCAAAATAGCTACATCACACGACGAGATACAACCCAAATCCACCGATATCCACTACTGTCATCGAATAGTTGCGGGTTTAAATTGAGAAAACGACGAACGAACGTGTGAATGTCGTGGGATGTTGCATTGTTCGGGGGTTACGTCGCAGCCCAGTCATGTCGATGGCTCCCTTCCACTACGAAATCCACTCCCGGTTTTCCCTGGCTCTACTTTGCAGCATCTTGTTGCTTTATAAAGCCGCTTTTATGACTTTTAAATCATTTTTACAGTATTTATTCTGAGGAAATTAGTGGAAAAAGCCAATGAATACGCGGTAGAATTTGCCCACAAGAGAATAATGACTCAAATAACAATCAATTCCCAGTTAATTATTACAACAACTGCAGTGAAATGTATTACAAACTAAATAAATTGCACTTTCCCAATTTTGACTGAATAAAAATAGGTTAAACAAATACAAATTTCTAAATAAAGGATATACGTGACCAACTTATGTAATATTGAGATTTTTAATTTTTTTTCAATTTTATTTTCTATATTCTTATATTCTTATTTTTATCTTCTATATATTTTCACTTGCATTGTGGTTTATTGGAGTAGTAGGCGTACACCAGCCAAAACAATAGTCCCTGGGACGTGCGTGGAGTGCGTGCGTGTCGTCTCGAGGGTCTCACGTTACGTTTTTTACACGTCTGTCTGCAGAATGGGCGAGGGGACAAGTCTTCATTGGTTTTCACAGGACGTTTTTCGTGAATGGAGGTGAAGGGAGGTCAGAGTGTGTTTGCATCACAATAAAGTTTAGGTTTGGTTAGTTTAGCAGCTATAAAACTGGGAATACAGTTTTTACAGATGGGATAAATGCTTAGGTCAAAACAAAATAAAAATAAAAATTATTTAAAAAGCAAATGTAGTATTTTTTTTGCATCATACTAAACATCATACGTTTTGGGGAGGGTGAGGATCGCCATTGCCTACACACACAAACACACACACACAAATGAGGCCAATTTAAGGTCATTTTATAATTCTGCCTCAACTCAGTGTACAGTGCTGCCGTCACCTTGTCAACGTCATTTTTGATGTATGGATCTGCATCGAGGTCTACGCGCTGCAAAGTAATTCACCGCCACAACTCTAGGAGGCTAGGATTCAAAAATGGCGTTCATGTATACAAAATGAAGCAGGAAAGCGAAGTACCGTATTTTCCACATTATAGAGCGCTCGGGATTATAAGGCGCACTGTAACTGAATGGTCTATTTTCGAACTTTTTTCACAAATAAACCGCACCGGACTTTAAAGGAAACCCAACAGTGTGATGGGTGAGTGGTTTTGTTTGTTTGTGGCGTTCACGGTGACTCTGGGCTTTGTTCAGTTGTGGCGTGTAGGGAGGGTGCTGTCTGGGACCAACGGATTGTCGGCGTGTTCGCAGTGACTCAGTTGTTCAGTTGTGTCTAGAAGTGGCACATTGCGCTCGCTTTTTCGGTTCATTCCTCTTGTTATAGCTGTGGTAATAAAAGTCTGGAGCCGGGGATGCAGTTTAGGTTATTTATTTAACATGAATGGACAAGTTCGGGAAAAGGGAAGTGACCGGAAAAAACAAACAAACTACAGGACAGCAGGGACAATGGCTAACTGTAAAAACACAAAAATCCAAAATGACAAAAAACGGACAGGTTTGATCAACTTTAATAATTTAAAAACAATTTAAAAATGTTGCTACCTGTGTCGTAAATCCCCCACACAGCTCCCCCGTAGCACCGTTCAGTTTTTTTTTTTAAACAGCGTGGCCGCCCTAACACACAACAATTCATTTTAAAAATGAAGTCTCATTCACTCTCGCACACAAACCATTTAAAAACCCACTATTATCCTTGGCCAAACGCACGCACACGTGGGTCCAGCAGTCTACCTGGCCATCCACAGAAACTTACACCTCCTGGGCACACCGCCAACTTCCCCTTAAATTCTGTCTGGCTGTGGCCCAGCAGCGACACCACATGGTACCACCCGCTACACTCCGTTCCGTTCGTCGTCGGCGTGGAGTGATGAGTGTGTCTGTGGGTGTGTTTCGCTGTGTGGTCGCTGTCTGCTCCGTGTGTGTTTGTGTGTTCTGCGAGTGGTGCGGCTTTGTAGTTTACTGAAGTCGTGCTGGGACACCCGAGTGGATTCGTGTATAGGGTGCTCTGGATTGTGGGGCGCACAGTCGGTTTTTGATGGGTTTGGAGGCCTATAGTTCAGAAAATATGTTATCAGAAATGTCTGTAGAGCGGATGTAGAGAGGACCAATCACAGCTCTTATTGTCTTTGTGGTGTTCCCTTGCTGCCTGCGTCTGTTCGATGCGCAGGGGGCGCCAGTCGCAAAAACTGTTGTTAGACAAGGCACTTCACTCACATTGCCTAGTATGAAAGTGGTGTGTGTGCATGATGGTGGTCAGAGGGGCCAATGGTACAGATTGGCAGCTTCAGTTTTGTCAGTCTGTCCCAGGACATCTGTGGCTACAATAGTAGTTTACCATCACTGGGTATGGAATGAAGGAATAAAAGATCTGTAAAAGCATCTTTGTGACATATGTCTGTGAAAAGCTCTATATAATTAAAAACTAACTTAACTTACTTAGTTACAGAATTTGGGAGGTGCATGTCAGTTCATGCAGATGCTCTGCAGAGAGGGTTCGAGTCTGAGTCGCACTGCAGATGATTTGACACGCGACCATAAATTGGGCTTTAGGCAAGTATGAAGACTAATTATTAGGGATGTAAGAATAACCTGAAATATGATATTGTATCTTCAAAGTTCTCACAATAATATCGTGGACCATCACAGTATATCAAATTACAAGTCTTAAATGAAGAGTTATGGTGCAGCAATAGCTAAAAAAAAAGACAGAGGGAACTACATAGACCATGATCCTTTGCTCCATTTCAGTGCAGACTACAAAAAGAAATAACAGTTCTAGCACTTTTAAGTCTCAGTTCTTTTGGAATAAGTCTGATAAAGGCATTTGAAGAGGAAAAAGTCACATATTAACAGTTTTGTTAGTCTCCATAAAATATCGCAATAAATATCTTACCATGAGATGTATATCGTGAAAATATCGTACTGAGAGATGTGGATATTGTTACATCCCAAATCATGAGCTTTCCCACGATATCGCAATAAATATCATACTGTGAGGTTCATACAGTGACAATATCGTATCGTAAGACTTGGATATCGTTACAGCCCTGCTAGTTAGATTTTTATAATGGTGATACTATGTACTCCTTCAGTTGGAGCCTTTCATATAAGCTAATTGTTTTTTGCCACACAGTATCATGCAAAGAGTGCTATATGTATCACACGGATAGTGGAGAATTCAGCGCCATTTTGTTATGTCAATGTTTTTTTCAGACTTTAACAAGAAGAAACTATCCTCAAATTAAGAACAGACAGCTCAGAATAACCTAAAACTACTTCAGTACACATATTGGGCAATTAATGCATGTTTCCTTTGGAGTTAATATTTGTTTAGATTAGAAAGTAGAACCAATATGGCAGCAGGTGACAAAAAAAACCCAATAAAACGCCAATGTGGAGTCAGTTTTACAGCCGTGAAAAGTAAGTAAGGGTCCATATTACTCTGTTTTCTGATCTGCATATGTTATAATGTTGTTTCCTCATGAAAAACATACCTGGAGTTGATTTATTTCAATATGGGTGTTTTTATTCCTCCAAAATACCTTGATAAATGCATTTTTACTGTAAGCGGGGTCGCCCCTCAATATTATATTATCATATTATATATATCTGACTTGGCAGTGACACCTGCTGTCTTCATGGAGATTGATAAGTTTAAAGCCATACTGTGGAACACTCCAGGTAAAGCAATAGCATCACCATGGTGACAAGCAGGTAGGTGGACCCTCTCAGAATAGTTTCTTAGTGTTTATATTATAGTGTTTTCTAGTAGGCAGGTAGGTTGCTTTATTCGTACCCGTAGGTAAACTTGTTTTACAGATTTGAGAGGCAGGTCCCACATTCCACATCTCATTCATTCATATTATGTACAATAAATACATATAAAAACACAATTACAAAATAAAGTGTTACAGAGCTCCAGTGCAGAACGGTTTGTTCCATAAACAGTTAGTTCAAGGTTGTATAGAGGATTTTCCAAGGAAAGAGAAATATAGTGACTCCGCAGCTCCCTAAATAAAAATGTCTCCTCCCGCCTCCTTCTTACTCTAGAAATCACACTTGTTTACAGCCAGTGCGTGTTCAGAATCGCCGTTGAAGTTTCCTGTCCAGAAGTCATTTATCATCGTCCGTCGTCAGCTGGAAGGAATCTCCGAGAATCACCTTAGTTTGGCTTCGCTCCTTTTCCCCTTCTTCTTTTAGCGACCTCAAAAACTGACTTTCTTTTGCAGCTGTAACTGGTCGTGGATTTTTGTCTGCCGCCGCAACAAACTTTGTACTAACTGCGAGGGAGCTAAAGTTCGAAAAACTTGCTAAGAACCGCTGCATTGGTCAAGTAAACGTGTCTTGTGTGTGTGGAATGCGTGAGAAG